CTGTTCCCAGGGGTGAATGAAGATGCTTTTCATGCCGGTGTGTCACATGGATTCGCCCTCTAAGTGCCCTGTTGCCCTCGAGCAGTGGGGCTGTGGGTCCCAGCTGCACACACGGACTTTTCCTCCAGCCGAGCAGGGCACTGCCTCGCGCTGCCGTGGGGACTTTGGTCCCAGGAGGGGCTGAACACACGGCAAACAGGCTCCTCTGCCCTGGTCACCTGGCCAGCCTCAGCCCTCTCGGGCTCCCGCCCCGCATTGTGCAAGGCCCAGTGGTTACGCTGGCCCCGTGCCTTACCCAACAGCTCCTTCCTCCGGCTGCGCGTCTCCCACTCGGTTTCGACATTAGCTGGCCCTGGCCAGCTCATCCCGGGGTTTTCGCCGCTCCCACCCTCCGGCCGGCACTGCCTCCTGCCAGCACAGCCCCAGCTGCCTTGAACCGCTCCCCGGCGGCTTTCCCGGCCCCCAGTGGGGCCCCAGGGCTGGATTGCACCGTACCCAAACCCTGCCCCCACCCCAGCTTGGCCATTTGGCACCCATGAACATGACAAGACTTGACTTGGGGTCCAGATAATGTTTATGAGCAAAGACAAGCGATTACAATCTGGCAGGAGCAGGAATACGGGAGCAGAGTCCCCACGTTAGCCCTGCCGGGTCCTTCCCGGCTCCCTCGGTGTCTCGGTGCCACCCCAGTGGCTCTGCCCCTCCTCGAACGCCTGTCCCAGCGCTCGGCCGACAGCCCCAAAACGCGGGGTTGGGCCGTGGCATGACAGCATTGACAGGTGCTCAGCCCCACACCGGTGCCTGGGGACCGCCGGGGAGGAGGCGGTCCTTGTGCAGCAAGCTCAGCATAGCTGGCTTGAGGGGCTGGGTTTGGGGGGCAGGTGCCCCTGCACCAAGGGGAAGACCCTCCTTGGGCTGGGGGGGGGCACCGGGGCCCCGTGCCAGCGGGATCTCCAGAGGGCTGTGCTTCACCTGCCCATTTAGGGCCCGCTGCCTAGGAGCCAGCACCATGAGCCCACAAACATCCCGATGGGCACCCCGGTACCCCGAGTCTCTCTGGGGCTGCTCTGTGTCCCCATGGGGACGTAGGCGGGACCCCACTGCCCTGGCTGGGGCAGGCTGACCCGCCACCCTGCCTGCCAGCATCCCGAGGGACTTTCTTCTCACAGCCACGGTGGGAAGGGTCCGGGCACGCACAGATGCCAAGGGGGCAAACCTGCCAAGGCAGGGCTCTGGGACTGCCAGGGGCTGCCTGGCACTTGGGGGGCCCGGCTCCCCCAGGGCAGGGAGAGGAGCAGTGCGTGCTCCAGGCCAGCCCTGTCCCCCCACCTGGGTAGTGTCACCCGCCCTCTGCGGGCACAGCAGCACAGGGGTCCCCCGAGTGCTGCCACGTCTCTCCTGGGGACCCCTACCCTCGGCATGGCCGCAGGATGGCAGAGAGAGGAGGGTGCCAGGCACAGGCAGCAGGACCCAGGGGCTCAGCTCCCCTCCAGCAACTCAGGGTACCAGTAGCCCCACTCCAGAACCCCCACAACGAGGGACGGAGCCGGGGGCCGCAGAGGAAGGGCAGCCCCCCAGCTGGGGGGCACTGCCTGCAGATGAGAGAAAGTCCTGCTCACCCCTTCCCCTGGCAGCTGTGTACCCCATCTCTAAAACCCAGGTTGGACAGTCCCATGGGTGGGTTTCCCCATGCTCCGGGGTCCCACCATGCCCTCTCCCCTGGACTCATGGCCCGGGCTTCCCCGGGGGACTGGCTCCCCGGCACAGCGGGGGCTCCCCCAGCTGGCACCATGCCCTGGGCGATGCCTGTCAGTATGTCTGGGGCGTGAGGATGAAGAGTCGGTCTTCCTCCTTGCGGATCCACTTCATGAGCTTGTTGACAGCACTGATGGCACCGGCCTTGGTCCCCAGGGGACTGTAGCATATGTAGAGCTCGAAGGCGCTGGTTACCTGGGTGAAAAAAACAGGGTACACGCTGGGCACATGTCTGCGCCCCACTTGGGGCTGGCACCGCATCTTCCCCCCAGGAGCATTGGGAACAGGCACAGGGGCTCCACTGCAGGGACATGGGGTGGCAACAAGGTACCCTAAACGCGTGGCACCTGGTTTGCTCAGAAGTGGGGGGACCAAACCCCAGGGTTTACCCTCAGAGTGGGTTTTCTCCGCGGCACTGGGGAGTTCATGACAGCGCATGGCACAGCCCTCGGTGCCGGCACTCGCCAGCCCCCGCTGCTATCCCTGCCCGTTCCTTCCTCGCACAAAGGTGCTCGGGGGCAGGCTGGCCCCCAAAAGGACTGTGCACAAGCTGGGGGCCACCCTGGGGACCATGGAGCTGGTGCTGTGTTGTGCCACCCACCCCCGCCCGCTCTGCCATGCAGGACCAGAGGAGATGGGCTGACCCAAACCCTGCAGATGGCCCTTACCCAAGCCAGGAGGTTCTCACGGGGGCCTGTGAAGTAGATGTTCTTCAGGGGGCGCGAAGAGTTGTGAGCCCGGCTGTGGAGGTACTGGTAGAGCCCCAGGAGCCTCTCCTTCTCCTCCTCCCTCACGTAGGGTGCCTCAATCTCGGGGCTGCAGGAACACAGCACCCCGTTAGCCCCCTGGAGAAGGGGATTCATGGAAAAGGCTTGCCCCATGCCCCACGCCGCGGCCTTGGCCCAATGGTTCCCCAGGGGCCTCACCTGGTAAAGAGCCCGGAGCTTTTCGACTTGTAGATGAAGTGCCGGAGGTCAGGGATGCCCACCTGGGCAACGCTGTAGAAGGGGGTGCGCAGGGCCTCCTGCAGAGCGTGGTACACCCCCCGCCGCCGCAGGCGCTCCTGGAAGCGCCGCTTACAGTCAGAGACAGTGAAGAAGTCCTCGCGGTCGGTGGAGACCAGCAGGAGGCACAGGTCCATCTCCTGCTCCAGGTAGGAGATGTGGGCATGGAAGAAGCCACTGGAGTTGAACTTGGGGAGGCAAATGGGAGTCCAGGCTTCACCCTCCCGGAAGGAAGAAGAAGAGCTGATGAGGTTGAAGAGCAGGTGGAGGTCAATGGGGTGGAGGAACTGATCCTTCTTCCTCACGAGAGACACCAGCTGGTTCCCTGACAGGAGGATGGAGAAGACCAGGCTCTTGGCCTTGGCCTGCTGGAGGCTGGTGCTGACAGCGTCCCGGACGCTGGCGGCCAGGGGCAGGCAGCGCACGGCACCCATGAGGAAGCTGGGGTCGTGGGCCATGAGGTCCAGCAGGTTGTCAGTGATGCGCTCGGAGCCGGCCAGGAGCCTGCGCAGGTCATAGTTCTGCTTCTGCTGGAAGATGTGGTTGAGCTGGGTCCAGGTGAGCAGGCTCAGGATCTGGTAGTAGATGTAGAGCAGCTCATGGGCTATCTCCTGCTCCGACTGCCGGGTCCGCGCCACTGCCACCAGCACCAGCGGGCTCCTCCGCACGAAGACAACCTTGTAGCCATCTGCATGGGAGAGAGTTCCCCGGCGGGGCCGGGGACAGACCTGTAAGCCTGGCTCCGCTGGGCTGCAAGGGGGAGCCAGGCTGCAGCCTCCCCCCCGCCACCAATCTGCCCCTGTGGACAGCTAATGTGGCCCACGGTGGCAGGGGCACGGCCGGGCAGGCCGTCACACCCCCCTGTCCCACTCCCCCCCAGGGCGGTACCTGCGTGGATGGACCGGATGGCGTTTTTCTCGGCCTCCAGGAAGGACACCAGGGCCATCATGACGCCCATGGTGCTGGAGAGGGCCTCCTCAGAGCCGTAGCGGGAGTACACGGGCTTGCCCGCCTCGCTCAGCACGAAGACGTGCTTCCGGTGCATGCGCCAGGCGTCCATGGTCACGTCCTCCTCCTCCTTGCCGGACAGCACTGAGTCGCGGCGGGTGGTCTGTGGGGATGGCTCCAGCTTCCCCTCCTTGCTCTGCCTCATCTCCTCCTCCAGGTCGAGGGCCATGCCCGTGAGCTGTGTGCTCAGCTCGCTGAAGTCCTTGCTGATCTGCTCCATGCTGGTCGGCTCGGCCGGCTCCCCCCGCCTTTCCTCCGGGCTCCGTGCCACCGCCACCCCGTCCTCGGGACTTGTCAAGTCCTCGTAGGAGCGGGTGTGCACGAACATGGCTCCCTCCTGGCCCGCCCCTGGGAACAACAGGCCGTGCAGCGTCCGTCCACCTGTCCCCCACGCTGAGGCAGCGGGCAGACGGAGGGTGCAAAAGGGACAGGGGGTTGCAGGGAGGGACCTGCCCTCCGCTCCCCATCCCACAGCACCCAGGGGTGCGGGTCCTGCTGGTGGGGAGTCGCCAGTGGGCCCGTCTCCCCCTGCCCGTGGGGCTGCGGAGGGCCCAGCCAGCATAACGAGGAGCTGCTTTTTTTCTTTCCCCTCGCTTACCCCCGCGGTGAGCTCTGCCCTGTACCTGGCTCCGTCCCCTGCACCAGCCCCGGCGTGGGGCTCTCGGACCGCTCCCCGTGCTGCCCATCTCCCGGCGCCAGGGACCCGTTGGGCACTTCCCAGCCTTTCTTCTTGTGGACATCCGCAGCCATTCCTTGGGGCAGGACCTGCACGTGACCCACAACATCACCCCTCTGTTCCCTCCCCTGCAAAACGGGTCCCGAAACGCTCTGCTTTCGAGCGGGGCCGCGCCAGCATCCTCAGCCCAATCCTGCTGGCTCAGCAGGCAGCACCGAGCCCTGGTGAGATGTCAGGAACGCCGCTCTAATCCAGCAGGATTTCCTCCCTCCCGCGGCCCCAGCTCCTTCCAGCCCCCCGGCCCCAGCACCTTTCATCCAGGCTTGGCCCCGATTTCCCCCAGGCGCTGGGAAAGCTGCTCAGCCTCCCTCTGCCGCGTCCCGGCAGCGAGGGGGAAGGGACCCAGCCCCGGATGGGGCTGGGGCTGGTCCTGCACACCGACGATCCCAGAGGCCTCATGTTTGCAAAGGGCGGGTTTATGGCCCTCCTTGGCATAGATTAGGCGGCTGAGATGAGACCAGGCTGGTGACACTCCTCCTGAGGCCACGGCCGCTCAGACGGTGTAACCCCCTGCAAGCAGGGTGCCCTCTCGAGCCCCTGTCCAGTGGGTCAGCCCTCCGGGGCAGAGCCTGGCCGTGCCTCCAGCCCGCGCTTTCTTCCCTGCCCCGTGGGGGAAACTGGCCCGAAAGTGAACACAGGCACACAAGCGAAAGTAACAGCAGGAAGGCAGGCAGGCACCGTGCCGCTTCGGTGCCAGAGCCGCCCCAGTCTCCGAAACCAGCTGGTGGGGAGGCTCGTGGAGCCCCGGCTTCGCTCCATGCTTCGTGACACCTCCTGCCCCCCAGACCCAACCCCAGCAGGTAACGCCGCACCTGGGGGGGCCGGACCCCGACCCCAAAAGCCTGTGATACCCCAAGAGCCCCGGAGGG